GGTTAACTGGTGGGAGGACAAGACACGGTACCAAGACGTTTAGATAGGAAGATTATCTGTTGAATATAAGGATTATGTTGTTAACTGGTGGGAGGACAAGACACGGTACCAAGAATTACAGAATAATAAAAATTTGATTAAAAACCATAAATGGAACTTATAACTTCAGAAAGTGACTTAAACTATAATTGTTTATCACTTCAGGATAAAACACAACGTACAATGCTGTTATGTTAAACTTATATTAAAAGTTTTCTTCATTACCCATTCAAGCCGTCTCCAACCATTATAAGTATGACTTTTCATTTTCTTTATGTTTCTAATAAATATAGTTTAGCTAGTATATTAATATCGCTTTAAGATGAATTTAATATAAAACAAATTATTTTACACACAACGACTGCAGCGACATCTACAAACTTAATTAATATGCAAACAAATGTGCAGAGTGTGTATGTTATTTCCAACAGTAAAACTATAAATATAATTATATATGCTGTTGTTGACGTTCTAGCATTAAATAGACTGGTTGCTTAATATTAAGTCTTAACTGAATTGATTAATTTGTAATTAAGTAATAATTTATTTTTTTAGTAGGATGACCCCACCCAGTGTTTTCAAATACGTTTCCTAGAACGGTTCAATTTCAAAGAATATTAACTGAAAGATGATGAATTAAAAGTTTAACAATATGGACTCACTAAAACACAGACAAACAAAGAAAACAACAGAACAGATACAAAGTAACAACTTCAAATAAATCGTAATTTTTCGTTTTGTATAAGTATTGTTTGACAGGAGGCGATGTCTTCCAATACTTTTTGGAAAATGAAAGCTTACATTTTATTCTTATTGATGAATCAAATAACTTTTTTTCTTTAGCTGAAAGTATTCTCTATATTTACAATATGATTTTTGTATTGTTGCCAAGTAACGAACTGTTATCATGACAACACAGTGGATGCTGATTGGATTCACAGTCAACTTAGTTGGTAATACTCTGGAACTGCGTAGTCATTGCCACTACTGCTGAAGAAGTTGAATTGTATTGTCCCACAGGGACTCTCTCCGTAATTTCGAGATTCATAATAGCCACTGTAGTTAAAACTAAGTTCACTGTTCGTCGAACACTGACCGTTGTACAGGTCTGGAGATGGGTTATAACTAGAAATGTTCGCAGTGTCCCCAACAGAACCTGTGGGGTCACAAAACGTGGGATTTGAAGAGAAATGCTGTTTAGGAGCTGTGGCGCTACAGTCTGGTGTGCGGTTCTCGCTGCTATTTGAAAGATCACAGTACACGCTTGGACCGTTAGGTGACACGAAGTTTCTTGTGTCGTCCCCTGCTCGGTACGAATCATAACTGGTCAGTCTATAATTATCATACTGGCTGTAGTCTTCCTGAATGTAAGAATGTGGGTTTGATGGGGGGTGTTGGTGGGGAGATATGGTTTGACTTACACTCTCGTAAGAACGTGGTGGAGGGTGGTGTGTTGCCATGTGTTGGTCTGAGATGCTAGAATTCATTAGAGTTCCACGAGGTTGGACGCGCCCCACCGGAGAGGAGGGAGGCACGTGACAATGTCCTAGTGGAGGATGGAGCATGGAGGAGCCAGTGAGATAAACCTCTTGGTTTTCTGCCACGTTGTAGGACGTCTCCGAATGGACTCTTCGCTGTGGCTGTTTGTGCGTGGGCGGAGGTGTATTGTAATAGTTACAGGACACAAAGGGTGGTGTTTGTTCTCGCTGACCACTATGAGTATAACTGGACATTCCGTCCTTCGAGTAAGGACTAGGGTAAATCCGTGGCTGCTGGCAGGAAGGAGGATCTACAGGTATTAACTGTGGACAAGGGTACTCAGCTGACGGACTGTCTCCAACGGTGGAATCTCGAGATCGATAGGCTGAATGACCCGGTTTGTGGAGTGTAGAACTCGTGGCACTCCCCAACAATGGGAAACTATGAGCCATTCCATACTTATCAGAGAGTACATCTAAGGAATTAGTTTCCGAGTGAATGAGGTCAACTCCAACCGCCACAGGAGAACCTTCTGGGGTTATCACTCCATTAGCTGGTAGCTTGTTTCCTTGGCGAACCAGCTCTGTTGTTTTGGTCGCTTGAGAAGTTGGAGGGTTTTGATCCATTCCCTTTACACAAGACTCAGGTTCTACTGGAGATACGGTATTCCGGCCACAACAGGTCTCCGATTTTTCTGACGCACATTCAGTCTGGTCATCGTGTCCGTGAGGGTTTGAAATCAACCCTTCTTCTTTGTCTAGGGAATTCTCCTTGTCAACGCTCTCAGCACTACTGTCACCTTGGCAACCAGAGCCACCTTTGTCATCGTTCTTGCTCATTACGGTCTGCCTTTTGTGCTTCATGCGGCGATTCTGGAACCACACCTTCACCTGCCTTTCGCTCAAGTCGAGGGACGCGGCGATCTCGATACGACGTGGTCTGCACAAATACTTATTAAAGTGGAATTCTTTCTCCAGCTCCAGGAGCTGCGTGTTAGTGTAAGCTGTACGCAGTCTCCTCGGCATCCCATTTTCTCCGCCCTCTACATGGAAAAGATAACGATAGAGTTAGAAAACAAGAACAGAAACAATTGGGTTAAGTTTAATGATCGTTTTTTCTTTAAACAGGGAGGATTAGGGTTAACAGTTCCAAAGTAAGGCTTCAAATAAGAATGTATATGTTGTTAGAAATGAAGGTTTGAGAAACCTTATTAATTTGACATTTCTCAAAAGATTCCATGTCATTTTTTCCATAATTGCACATGCTAATTTTATTGAAACAAGTTTCTTTAGATCGAGTGAACACCTAAAATTTTATATCAACACCAAATCCACGTGCCATTGTCTCTGAAAAAGATTATACCACCGATATTTGAAATCAAACACATAAATCAAGGAATTTTGATGTCTGCTCATATCTTCGGATGAATAATTTTATTTTGTATTTTCTATGTATGAATAATTTTATTTTATATTTCTGTATATGAATAATTTTATTTTATATTTTCTGTATATGAATAACTTTATTTTATATTTTCTATATTTGAATAATTTTATTTTATATTTTCTGTATGTGAATAACTTTATTTTATATTTCTGTGCATGAATATTTTTTATATTTTCTGTAAATGATATTATTTCTGTGTATTAATAATAATTTTTTTATATTTTCTGTGAATAACATTATTTCCGTGTATTAATAATTATATTTTGTATTTTCTGTATATGAATAATTTTATTTTATTTTTTCTGTGTATGAATAATTTTATTTTGTATTTTTTGCGTTAAAGTCTTTAAAAACGAAACAGAGCTCATTGCTTATTGAAAAGTGGTTGTTTAGAACAAAGATTGTTTAGAACAATGGTTGTTTAGAACAAAGATTTTCATCTTTCTCAGACTGAAAGCTTAGTTGTTACAGAAATGTATGTTGTTCTATTTGTGTGAGTTTCTGGTTATTGTTCAAAGAAAACCAGGGAATGGTATTAATGCATAAAAATAATTTACTTTGTTTAATTAAAGGAAATATCGTATAATTATTGGTTCTGAAAGACTTCGCAAAAAAAAGGACAAAGTGATGCAAATGTCTTCATTTTACAGGGTAAAGTCAAGCAAATGTCTTTATTTTACAGGGTAAAGTCAAGCAAATGTCTTTATTTTACAGGGTAAAGTCAAACAAATGTCTTTATTTTATAGGATAAAGTCAAACAAATGTCTTTATTTTACAGGGTAAAGTCAAGCAAATGTCTTTATTTTACAGGGTAAAGTCAAACAAATGTCTTTATTTTATAGGATAAAGTCAAACAAATGTCTTTATTTTACAGGGTAAAGTCAAGAAAATGTCTTTATTTTACAGGGTAAAGTCAAGAAAATATCTTTATTTTACAGGGTAAAGTCAAGCAAATGTCTTTATTTTACAGGGTAAAGTCAAACAAATTTCTTTATTGTACAGGGTATATTTAAACATGTGACTTTATTATGCGGGTCCTTTGTGACCCGTTTTTACAAGATTCGAACAGAGAATTGAAGTATTGACTTACGGATGATATTATTCACGAGCATGGTTTACTAGGCAAGAAAATTCATGCGGACAAAACCCAACCACAACCTGTTATTACGAAGCAATTACCATAACTAGTTTATGACACTATTATACATATGAGAGCGTTGAAAATTTCAAGTAATCATTATAATTAATACAATTTGCCACGCCTCACAGCTGCTTTCAAAGTGGTTTTATTGGCTGAACTTGATTAGAATAAAGCAGGATGTGCCTTGTGATGCCATAGAGAAGAGTAAGAAAAATGTTATCTTACGTAAACATCTTACGTATACAGATAAATATTACACTGTGTTAGCGTGAAATAAAGAAAACACGACATAGTGTAAGTGTGAAATAAAGAAAACACGACATTGTGTTAGTGTGAAATAAAGAAAACACGACATTGTGTTAGTGTGAAATAAAGAAAACACGACATTGTGTTAGTGTGAAATAAAGAAAACACGACATTGTGTTAGCGTGAAATAAAGAAAACACGACATTGTGTTAGTGTGAAATAAAGAAAACACGACATTGTGTTAGTGTGAAATAAAGAAAACACGACATTGTGTTAGTGTGAAATAAAGAAAACACGACATTGTGTTAGCGTGAAATAAAGAAAACACGACATTGTGTTAGTATGAAATAAAGAAAACACGACACTGTGTTAGTGTGAAATAAAGAAAACACGCCATGATCTACGAAGGGTTTAGATATTCGTGATTCTCTCTATCTGATGAAAAGCTTTCAGACGTTCAGTACATCAGAACAGTTCGGATTAACCATGAGCACATAGGTGGCATACATCCAGCAAAGACAAAACATTACTACCAGAACACAACTACTGGAAGAGACCAGAACACCACTATTGGAAGAGACCAGAGCATTACTACTAGAAGAGACCAGAGCATTACCATTGGAAGAGACCGGAACACCACTATTGGATGAGACCAGAATCTTACTACTGGAAGAGACCAGACATTACTATTGGATGAGACCGGAACACCACTATTGGAAGAGACCAGAGCCTTAGTACTGGAAGAGACCAGATCATTACTATTGGAAGAGACCGGAACACCAATATTAGATGAGACAAGAGCCTTACTACTGGAAGAGACCAGAACACCTCTAGTAGAAGAGACCAAGCCATCAATATTATAATGAACTAAGACTCCTTAAAGAAGGAAACCAGAACTAAAGCGATAGATTAGGTTAAGTCTTCTCAAGTGGACAAAATAAAATTTTTGAAGAGAGGATCGAAAAACAGGGCTTGTTATTACAGAAGTAAGCATCTTCAAGGCTTGTTATTACAGAAGTATGTATCTTCAAGGCTTGTTATTACATAAGTAGGTATCTTCGTAGGTATCTTCAAGGCTTGTTATTACATAAGTAGGTATCTTCAAAGCTTGTTATTACAGAAGTAGGTATCTTCAAGGCTTGTTATTACAGAAGTAGGTATCTTCAAAGCTTGTTATTACAGAAGTTACCTACTTCTGTAATAACAAGCCTTGAAGATATCTTCAAGGCTTGTTATTACAGAAGTAGGTATCTTCAAAGCCACTTTTGAAATATGAAAAATGTTTTTAACACACTTCTTGATTTTCAAGAAAATCCAAATGTTTTAACAAATTTCGGTTAAAGAGAAAGTTATTGAAATGTTCGTTGTTAAAATATTATTAAAACGAACTTTACTCGTGATCCACGACTCCTAATAAAAACTACACACTCGTTCATTCGAAGCGCTATCTCATGGAGAAATGGAAAATTAAAAAAAAAAGAGATCAAATTAGACACGTCTCCACACGCATAAAGTTATCATGAAATCTGTTTGAAGGCATTTATTAGTTACCAGAGTGTACTAAGCCTCTTCTGAGAAAGACAGTGTGAGATAAGCCAAGAGTTCAAGCTGTTTCTATGCTTGAGGAAACTGTAATAACTACCCTTTGTAGCTTTCATTTCGTTTACAAATTAGCCTCTGTACCCGATTGAATATACACGAATGTCATACAATATTAATCATGATAAATTAGTAAGTAATAAGGGGATTATTAATGCTGGTAATGGCTAAACGTACTGTGATTTCTTTGAACTAGATCCAAAAGATTATTTTTTTGAACAGATTGACGAGAGATAGTAACTGTTTCAACGCTGTATTACTCAAGAACGTTTGTAAGTTTGGCGCAGGAATACAAAAAGAGAGCTATATGATATCTTTACACACTCTTAATGAATGTGGTAAAAAATAAGTTCGGATCAAATTCTCATAAGATAGGCGTCTGAGGTCAATGTTTTCTGCCTTTCTTAACTAAAAGAAAAAAAGTGGACAGACTATGTAGCGTGTCACAAACAATTCGTCATCTTAGTGAAACAAACCTTAATGCTGTAATGTATTTTGTTCTCAAATATAAATATTACAAACCGCTCGTCCTTAAAACATTCATTAATAAATCACAGAACGACCTTAACAAATTAATACATTACAGAACGTTCTTAACAAATTCATTAATACATTACAGAACGTTTTTTAACAAATACATTAATACATTACAGAACGTTCTTAACAAATACATTAATACATTACAGAACGTTCTTAACAAATACATTACAGATCGTTCTAAATAAATACATTAACACATTACAGAACGTTCTTAACAAATACATTACAGAACGTTTTTAACAAATACATTAATACATTACAGAACGTTCGTAACAAATACATTAATACATTACAGAACGTTCTTAACAAATTAATACATTACAGAACGTTCTTAACAAATTAATACATTACAGAACGTTCTTAACAAATACATTAATACATTACAGAACGTTCTTAACAAATTTATTAATACATTACAGAACGTTCTTAACAAATTCATTAATACATTATAGAACGTTCTTAACAAATTCATTAATACATTACAGAACGTTCTAAATAAATACATTAACACATTACAGAACGTTCTTAACAAATTCATTAATACATTACAGAACGTTCTAAATAAATACATTAACACATTACAGAACGTTCTTAACAAATTCATTAATACATTACAGAACGTTCTTAACAAATTAATACATTACAGAACGTTCTTAACAAATACATTAATACATTACAGAACGTTCTTAACAAATTCATTACAGATCGTTCTAAATAAATACATTAATACATTACAGAACGTTCTTAACAAATACATTAATACATTACAGAACGTTCTTAACAAATACATTAATACATTACAGAACGTTCTTAACAAATACATTAACACATTACAGAACGTTCTTAACAAATACATTAATTCATTACAGAACGTTCTTAACAAATACATTAATACATTACAGAACGTTCTTAACAAATACATTAACACATTACAGAACGTTCTTAACAAATACATTAACACATTACAGAACGTTCTTAACAAATACATTAACACATTACAGAACGTTCTTAACAAATACATTAACACACTACAGAAACAAATTTGTATCCAAAATTTAAGGAGTGAATAA